GAATGCATCAAAAGAAAAGTCAAACACAGAGCACTTGGGGCTGGTTGGGTGAATCTCCAAAGGCAACCAGTCCTTTTTATATTCAAGGGTTTTGTGTACATATTCATGTTTAGTGCTCAACGCTCTACGTGAACCGATGAATTCTTTTCATGCTACATAAAGTTGACTTTTACATTGGAAAAGGGAATCATTTTCTTTCTCAAGGCATATGAGGATAAAACTAGCTAAAGTTTCATGAGTGTCAAGAGTTTTACATTCATCATCTCATTGAACACTCATGGCGATCCTGTATGATCTTTACTGTGCAGGTCCTATTTCCCCCACTTGTATAGATGGCATGGAAGCTTCAAGGGGTTATCTGACTCAGGTCACACAGCCAGCAAGAGGCGGGGGCAGGATTTGAACCCAGTCAGCCTGACTCTGGCAAAGGGGTTAAGAGGATGGTTTCTAAACTGTTTCTCACCATCTTTAACTTATAGCAAGTAGCTTATCCCATAAAAGCAGCCTTAAGAGATTATAGAAGATTCTGGTCGGGCATGGTGGCTCAAACCTGTAATCCCAACACTTTGGGAGACCAAGGTGAGGGGATTACCTGAGCCCACAGGCTTGAGAACAGCCTGGGCAACTTGGTGAGACTTCATCTTTACAATAAATCAAAAATTGCCGGGCGTGGTAGCGTTCGCCTGTAGTTCCAGCTACTTGGAAGGCTGGGGTGGAAGGCTCACCCGAGACCAACAGTTCGATGCTGGGGTGTCTGTGAGTGTTCCACTGCACTCCAGCCTGGGCGATGGAGTGAGACTCCAACTCAAAAAAAAAAAAAGATTCAGAGGGGGAGCAAATGTAGACAGTGGCCCAGTCTGGGGTTCCAAGAGGACTACCTTGGTTCACTGGGCAGCTCAGTGTCTGGGCCCTGCCCCTGCTGGTTGTGGGATTCCAGCAGGGACAGCTCATGGAGACGAGCAGCACCATTCTGTAAAAGGGCTGCCTATACAAGGGGGGACCAAAAACACTGAAATTTATTTATAAAAAGTTGTGTACTTATTCTTACATGTTTAAATTCCAGTCACCTTCAAAGTACTCTGTTTGATGCGATACACCTATCAAGATGCTTTTTCCGCTGCTCAAAACAATTTTTGAGCTTGTACATTTTGATGCCTTTTAATGCTTCTGCTGTTTTTTGTTTCACCTCTTACACATGGGCAAAACATTTCCCTTTGAGGACATTTTTTTCCATCCGGGAAACAAAAAATAGTCACTTGGGGTGAGATCAGGTGAATAGGGAGGGTGGAACATGGGAGTCGTGCCATCTTTGGTAAAAAACTGCTGAACACGCAGTGCGCTGTGGACAGGTGAGCTCATAAATCACCCATCATGAAATAAACAAAGGCATTGAAAGAATCGCTAAAAAAAATTCACTGAAGCAGAACACAGCCTCTCACAATGCTGCCTAGTACACTGATGCCGATGGGCTCCTAGAACCCTTACCTAGTGGGGGAAGCCTGTACTACAAGGGGCCCAATCTCCAAAAGATAATTCCAGTTTTTTGGGGGGTCCCCTTTGAACAAAGCAACCCAAACACCAAAGGAGTCAAGTAACCAAAGAAGGCAGTTGACCAATCAACTTTGTCAGCTTTGAGTGATTTTTTTGAGGGAACTTACAGATAGCTCAAGGCAGGTAGATCTCTGCCTTGTTACTCTCCAAGCCCAAGGCTTATACACCATAGGGAAAGAACATGTGTGTTCCATGCAAGACCATGAAAGGCAACTCTTCAGGATAGGCAAGAACGCTCTGTGCCTCACAGCCTATAATTTGTGTGATAACATCAAGGTTGCTGTGATCTAGAAGCAGGAGTACATGTTCTTACACTAGGGACAGTAAATAAACTGGAAATCAGGAGACACTCATGGGACTGAGGCTAATCAGAAATCAACATGGCAGATTAGCATTCAAGATGGAATCACTTTTGTCTCCACAAGCACAAGTTGGTGCCCCTAGAAGGCCAAGAAGGAGAGGAGGACATGCGCAAGTTTTCCTAACCTAGCAGGACCTAAAAGGTACTCGCATTAGAAGATTCTGGCTGTCTACTCATTCTACTTTATTTTGGTCGTTTCTGTAATATTCTGCCAGTGAATACACACATCAACTATGATGATGTTTTTCCAAATACAGCTTATGTGGGTCTGCTTATTTTAAGAGGTGCATTAAGACAGCTTTATTTTGACCCTGAGCATTTTTACCCTTGACTTGGGACCCAGGTGAGCTCATTGCAAGTGACTTTGCTCTTGACTCAGAACTAATTCTAAAGAGGTCAGAAAACTGTAAGAAGTTGCAGGCAACTGTTCTGATATTTCATACACTAGGAAAAATTGTCCGTGTACCAGATGCCCTTTTAAATCCGGAAACAAAGAACTTTAAAATCGTTTTAAAGTTCAAAGCTAACTTCCTAAAAAGGAACTTGGCAGAAAAGAAGGCTTTCCTCCAACGCTCAAGAATCCACCGAGGAATGTTTTTATTACTCAGACGAGAGCAAAACATGTCTTTATAGATGTCCCCACTTTCATGAGTGGATTTATGACTTGAGAGCAACATGAAGAGTAAAGCCCATATGGCAGGTTTCTAAAAATGTCAAACACTTGGAAATTTCTCATCCCATTGGTGGGATTTAATAAGAACCTATTTTGGCTCAGGAATGTTGAATATGTCCACTGAGGGTAGGGAATTTTTTTAAAAAATTAATTAATTAATTATTTTTAAAAATCTTTTTTTGTGTGTAACAGGGTCTTACTCTGTTGCCTAGGCTGGAGTGCAGTGGTGGGATCCCAGCTCACTGCAGCCTTGACCTCCTAGACTCAAGCAATCCTCTTGCCTTGGTCTCCCAAAGTGCTGGGATTGCAGGTGTAAGCCACCTCACCCAGTTGGGTTTTCTTAATCTACTTATTTGAACAGCAGTAAAGGGAGTAGAGGCAGCCAAGGGGCCTACAATGATGGTGGGGAACTTGGGAGAGGAGAACTTGGGAGAGGAGCGGGAGAGGGAACTTGGGAGAGAGAACTTGGGAGAGGAGCGGGAAGCTTTGCCATCTTCTCATTTTGAGCCCAGAGTGGGCACCCGGTAGATTGGCTTGTAGGTTGGTTGTACGAAGTGTTCTTCAACAACTCAGCCTCACAGAGTTCACTGCCGTGGTGGACTGAAATACTGATGCAAGCAGGTTGCATTAACTTGTACATGGGATTGAGCAATGTTCCCTGAATTAACCCCCTGGGACTAGGCTTTGCCTCTTCGAGACAGGGCCCGGGGTTAAGGTCCTCAAGCCTGGCTTGTCTTCCTTACCCTTGTTGTCTCTGTCCCAGTGGTTCCCTTTAAGCTGCTTGTCCTTCTGGAAGGCCTACATTTTAAAGGTTTCTCTCTGGTAGGAAGCATACTCATTAAATAATAATGAATTTGTGCCTCTTTTTTTTTTTTAGTTTTTCAAGGGATATGTCTTTTCTCTTAAAAAAAATTAACCATTTTTAAGTGTACTGTTCAATGGTAGCAAATGCCTTTATGTCCCTTTTTTCCTCCACTCACCCCTTCCCTGCTACCCTTCTTGGCCCTCTAGTGACCACCAATCTACTCTGTATCATCATGAGATCCACTTTTTTAGCTACCACATACAAGTGAAAACATGCAATACTTGTCTGTCTATGCCTGGCTTATTTCACTTGACATAATAACTTCCTGTACCATGCACACTGGTGCAAAAAAAAAAAAAATCCTCATTTTCAGAGGTAGGGTCTTGCTATGTTGCGAGGCTGAACTTACGATCCTCTTACCTGAGCCACCTGAGTAGCTGGGTGGCCCATGCATCTCACCACTGCATCCAGCTCACATCTCTATATTTAAATTCATCAAAGACCTAGGTAATTGGCTGGAGCATCTAGCTGTGGCAGACACAACTACAGCCCAAAGTGAAGGCAACCAAGGCAAAGCCAGCTAGTGCGGGGTGCAGTGGTGAGATGAATGGGCCACCCAGACCCCCACCATGATTTCTGTGAACCTCTGGGTTCCAGATATCATGGGCTGGGCCACCCCGTCCACCTTCCCTTGACTGTAGCACACCTGTTCCGTTGGCATCCTTAAACAGGCCTCCACCTCCCAGTCCCCTCCTCTGCTTTCGTCAACTCTTCCCTGCAAAGCTCCCATCCCCCTTGCAAAAACTCTGCTGTCCCTTCACCTGGAATGTGCTATCTGCACACGTGTGCTATTTAAAGAACTTGCAGCATTCAGTTAGGGTGATTGTCAAAAAAAATTACTACCGTATGTTCAAGTTAGAAAGTCTTACTTTATAACACATAATACCATACCCATCCACTCTCCTCCTCCTCCTGGAAAATAATTAATAAGTGATATAGATTGCTTAATGATGCCCAGCTCAAAGGCCACCTCTCCATGCAGGCCTCCCTGATTATCTCTTTCGTGATCCCTAATTCCCTCATTTGAACATGAGATTGTTTTTTCCATTCCAAAGGTAGGCGAGTTGAGGCAGAAAAAGAGAGGGTCTCACCCAGGCTCCCAGACATCAGGTCCCTGATCAACTGTCTGAGCTCTTCTGCCCAAAGAAACCTTCTGAGGAATGCTCCAGGCAGTTGGCCCCTCTTTAGTGCTCAGACTCCATGTGGTCTTCCAGGGAGCTGACCTCAGGGATGGCTGTCAACCAAAGGAAAGAGGAGCTCCTGCTGACAGCCCTCCGTGAGTGTTTCTTCCAGGCCAGAAGCAAAGTTCCACCCCCTGGTCGGACTTTCCCAAAGCAGGGAGCGGCAGCCACAGGCCAAGACAAAAAATTTCTCCTGAGACCCAGGCTATTCTGCCCCACAGCCTCCGGCATCCTCCATAGGGCTCTGTTGGGGCTCTTTCTCAATGAATGCATGGGTGGTGGGCTCCTCCCTACCTGTCTTTGCAGTTACCTTGATTCCATCTCGTTTCATCTCATTTCATTAAAAACAAACAAAAACCATTTGCTCACCGGCCAGTGAGGAGCTCCTGGGGTTGGGCTATCCTGGGCAGCCTGTCCTCTCCTGTCTACTGTCCTGTCCCGTTACAGCAGAGCAGGCCAGTGTGTCCCCAGCTAAAATCCACAGGCCCTGCGCTCCATCCCAGAGAGCCCACAACCAAATGCTTTGCCTTCCTGGGAAGCATTCATGACCTTCAGATCACTTTTGCTATGGCTGGCCCTGGGCCTGTGACAATCACTTCCTGGCTGTGTATTTACCTTCCTGGCTCAGAGGCAGGATGGTGACGGCATACCTGACCCAGAGGCTATGTGGATGGGAAGGGGCTGGGAATGCTGGGAATGACTGGAATGGCCACGGGTGCAAGGTAATGCTGATTGCCACACCCAGAGGCGCTATCGGGTGCACCTGACCCACCCACCCCTGGCATTGGCCATGCCAGCTTCACAGGATTTGAATCTGAGATTTGAGAAAGGCTTCAGTCCTGTAGGGCATGGCCATCTGGCCTCAGCTTGATCACTTTCAGGCAGGCGTAGGACACTGGCTGCTTCGTAAGGGATCTTACATTATTATTATTATTGTTATTATTGTTGATAACAGCTTTTTAAATTCAGTGTTTACTACATGACAGGCACAGGGTTAAGTACATTGCACAATTGTGTGCTATCACTGTGTTATCACTATAAGCAGAGAATCGTACCCATTTTAAAGATCCAGAAACAGAGGCTCATAGAAGTTGACCATCTTGCTCAAAACCCACAGCTAGTAAATTGGGGATCCAGGATTCAAACCCAAGCCAATTAATATCAAACCTGGACTCTTGAACTGGGTGTAGTGGCATGTGCCTGTTGTCCCAACTACTGGGAGGCTGAGGTGAGAGGATTCCTGGAGGCCAGAAGTTCAAGACCAGCCTGAGCAACATAATAAGACCTCGTCTCTAATCCAAACCAAACCAAATCAAAACAAACAAACAAAAAGCCTGGGCTCTTGACTATTATTTGCCAAGTCTAATTGCTACAATGTCCATCTTTATATGAAATTCAAATCAGTCTTTGTTTTAGCTACCTATCACTGGTAACAAGTTAACCCAAAGCATAGTGACTTGAAACACCACACATTTGTTTTCTTACAGTGTCCAACGAACACGGATTAGGAACCTGGGCACTTCTTGGCTGGATTCCTGCTAAGAGTTTCTCATAGGCTGCAACCCTGGTGTCGGAAGGGCTGGGATCTCATCTCAAAGCTTCACCGGGGAGAACCCACTTCCAAGCTCATGAGGCTGTAGTAGAATCCAGTTCCTTGGGGGCTGTGGGATGGAGGGCTTCAACTCCTATGGTTGGTGGCTGTGGCCACCCTTGGCTCTTGGTCACATGGGCCTCTACACCCTGGAAGGTCACTTCATCCGAGTGAGAAATGTATATAGTCCAAAAAGATGGAAGTCAGTCTTTTGTACTCTACTCACAGACGTGGCATTCCATCACTCTTGCTGTATTCTACTCGTTAGAAGGAAGTCACCAGGCATAGCTCATACTCAAAGGTGGGGCATTACACAGGGCATGGATATCAGGAGGTGGGGATCTCTGAGGGCTGTCTTGGAAGCCACCATACACATCTGATTGCCATGAAACATTGGCTTCAGTTTTGCCTCTGAAAACCAGACTGAAGTAGTCCCTCATCCATCTATGCACACATCCATCTACCAATCCACCCATCCACCCACCAATCCTCCCATCCACCCACCAATCCACCCATTCACCCATTAATCCGCCCATCTATCCATCCAATGATTCATCTATCCTTTCCTTCCATCCTTCAACAAACATTTGAGCAGGACACTATGAGCCAGACCCTACATCAGGTTCAGAAGATACCAGAATAAATGCAATTTATTCCCTCTTTCCTCTCATTATCTCCTGCCACCAAAGTCCCCCAGCAGAGCCTTCACGTATGTGAGAGGTGGAGGTGTCCGCTGAGTGCTCTGTCTTACAGGCGCATTGACTCCTTCCTTCAACCAGTTATCAGATGTCACCTTTCTGAGACCCTTGTCCTCCAGCTCACTCTCTTTCAGAGTCTCATTCATTTGAAAAACATGTTTTAAGCACTTCCTAAATGCAAAGTGTTATGGTAGCTGGGGTGTGTGTGTGTGTGTGTGTGTGTGTGTGTGTGTGTGTGTGTGTGTGTGTGTGTGTTTAGGGTTACATCTGAGCTAGGCAGTGGGGCGGATCACAGACCAGCTCCACACTCCCAGGTGTGTAGGGCCAGCAAGGGGCAAAAGGGGAGAGATGAGCCCTGGACTCACCTGCCTGTGGACCTGCCCCTCTTCCTCACTCCTCAAGGCTCAGGGCTGAGGGAGTGAACTCTGAGAAGAGGGAATGGAGTCTGTGGGGTTGGCGTCTTGAGGTGCCCAGTGGGACGTCTTTGGGTACTAGAATTGTAATACTCTTTCACATGGGAGACCATTCCTTTCATACATTTACTGAACACCTAGTATGTGTAGGGTCTGCACTAGGCCCTGGGCCTATTACCAGAAGGCTTCTACAGTGAATCTAATTTCCTTTTCTGCTCCATCGCACTGCCTCAGAATAGGCCACTATCACTCCTACCAGACAATTGCAACATCCTTTAAATGGGTCTCCTGGCTTCAGTCTCTCCCAATTGCTTCCAACCCTCCCCACCCATCCCACTCAGCACCCAAGTGAACCTGCTGACACAGACCTGATCTTGTCAGTTTCTTGCTCAAAAACATTTTACATAACCTCTGTTAACAGTTTCATGAGTATTTTCCAGAAATATTCTAGCAATACATAATCTCTCCCTTTTCTCTGTCTCTGTTTCTCTCTCTCTCTCTCTCTCTCTCTCTCACACACACACACACACACAGACAAACATACACACATGTACACATACCTCTATATCCTTTGGTTTAGTTTTACTTAGGCAGGATCATAGCATGTGTGTACTGCTCCTGGTGGTTTTCCAATTCAGCATGCCTTAATGTTCTTCACTGTTTTTAATGACTGTCTGCTGTTCTGCTGTAAGAATATTCTAGGATGATACTGAGAAATCATTTTCAAGACCCAGAGTGCCTTTACCAGAAGTTTTATGATGCTTTTCTGGTGATAATTTTTTATAGATCATTAGTGAGCTTAATTATCATAAACCAACAGGTTTTAAAGTGATTTTTATAGCTGTGCATTGGAAGGAATTGAATAACCAAATGTAATAAACTTAATTCATTATAAGACAATTTATTTTAAAAGTATCAAATAACTCCTCATGTTGAGTTTACTTTTAGGGATGGGAAGAGGCTAAACATTTTTTATTGTTGTAGTTAGCTGAAAAAATAAAATTGAACTATATAAAGATGATGCACTACATTTGACCAAGAGAAATAACTGAGCAGAAGCAGAAATACTTATCAAAACATTTAGTGAGCACCTGTGAGTCAGGCTCTGTTTACATGGATTGACTTGTCTAATCATCTCTACAGTCTTAGGATGAAGAAACCAGATATATAGAGGTTAAACAACTTGCCCAAGGTCACATACATTTTCTGGAAAACACAGAAGTGCTAGATATATATTTTTTTGTAATGTAAGTACATAATTCAGTTCAAAAGCAAGAAAGGTACATCTCCAGATGCCATAAATGATTAGATAATTCTATATTTACCCTGAGGAGCTGAGTACTTTGAAGACTATTACGTATAGACCCTATGGTGTTAGCTTTAAATTAATGGTTATGGGAGAACAAGAATCAAAGCCTGTGGACCTGAGCATAGTAGGAAGCCTGAAGAGGGACTGTAGATCAGAAGCAAAAATGTCCCAGGCCACGGGTAGAAATAGAATCACCTATAAGAAAGTGGAGTACAAGTTGGATCCACACGTGGGATCTAACCTTTAGCCAATCATGATGTATGGAAATCCCAAGATGGAAACTGAAAAAGAAATTTGAGAATCTGTGAACTCTGAGGTAGAGGCAACTATGGAGAATCTTCACAATCTGGGGCACTAGTGGAGAATAATTCCTGCCGGGCTTGGTGGCTCAGCCTGTAATCCCACGCCTTGGGAGGCTAAGGTGAGTGGATTGCCTGAGCCCGCAGGTTTGAGACCTGCCTGGGCAACTTGGTGAGACCTCGTCTCTACAATAAATCAAAAAATTAGCTGGGTATGGTAGCGCGCACCTGTAGTTCCAGCTACTTGGAAGGCTGAGGCAGAAGGATTGCTGGCACCCAGTAGGTGAGACTGTGGTGGCTGGGAGTGGTCACTGCACTCCAGTCTGGGCGACAGAGTGAGACTGCAACTCAAAAAAAACAAAAACAAAAACAAAAAAACCCCAAAACAAAACAAAAAATAAAAAAAAGAAGAAGACCAATGTGAAGAATATAAATTATTAAAAGTTATAACAAATTATAAAACATTTGAGGAAGTCCAACATAAAGAAAAACATTCCACAAAAATGAGAAAGTTGGCACATAAAGAAATAGAAGCAACAGAATAATATAAAATGAAAATTTAAAAAATAAGTATGCTTTTCATTTCAGAAGAGAATGTATGAAATTGTTATCTTCATGGAATTTCGAAGTTCAGCAATTAAGTCTCTTCTGTACTCAGTCAGATAATAACAAGTTAGAGTAAATTGTGCATCCACAAATACTTGAGCCTGACTGGAGGAAAATGTTAGAAATGTTTGTGTGTGAAGACGGTAAGTATATTAGTTTGCTTGAACTGCCATAACAAATTATCATAGACAGAGTGGCTTAAATAACAGAAATTTCTCACAGCTCTGGAGACTAGAAATTCAAGATCAAGATGGCAGCAGGTTTGGTTTCTTCTGAGGTCTCTCTCTTCGGCTTGCAGATGACTGTCTTCTCTGTGTCCTCACAGGGCCTTTCTCTCTGTGTGTGTACGCTTGTGTCCTAATGGCTTCTTCTTATAAGGCGACCAGTCATATTGGATTAGGGCTCACCCTTATGATCTCATTTTGCCTTAATTATCTCCTTAAAAGACCAGCTTCAATTAAAGTCACATTCTGAAGTACTGGGGGTGTGTCAGGAGTGGATGTGATGTGGGGAGCAGACGAGCACTGTCACTGTAGCAGGCCTTGAGTAAAGGCCCCAAGCATAATACACATAAAACTCTTGAAAAGAAATATGATTAAAGTGCTTAAAGAGATAATTAAAT